GAGGCGCGGGCCATGCTTCGGCTGGCGCCCGCCGGGGCCCGGACCATCGTGGACATGTCGTACGCCCGCCACTTCCTGGACTTCCAGGGCTCCAACATCCCCCGCGCCATGCAGAAGCTGGTGGCGACCCGTCTGAGCCCCAACTTCCGCGAGGCCGTCACCCTGTGCCGGGACTGCCCGGTGCCACTCCCCGGGGACGGAGACCTCCTCGTCCGGAACCGGTGAGCCCGGCGCGCGCCCCCCGCCCAGGCCGGGCCCCGGCCCGCGCTGCGCGGCTCCCCGGCTGTCCCGGGCCGGCCTGCGTCCCCACACTCCGGCGAGCGCTCGGGCGCACAGCCTGACTTTGCGAGATCCCGGGAAGTTGAACCCGCCGCCATCTGGCGAAGGCGAACGTAATGTGACTGTTGCCGGTGTGAATATCCGATGCCACGGAACGTCCTCATAACTGAGGGTTATTTTAATTTGGGATTCCCCTCCCCTCCCCCAGCCCTCCCTCCTCCCCCTCCCGCTCCCGAAATAAAACCGACGGGACCCAGAAGGGGAGGCTCCCCGCCCGGCCCACCCGCGCGCACCCACGGCTCCTGCGTTCCCATAATCTTTAGTGTGGACCAGGAACAGGCTGGACACAATCTGCGACGTTTAGGTAACGTGCTTTGGAGGAAGGAGGCCGAGGACCCGACTGGCTTTTCCCGTACGCTCCAGGTTGGCAGCCGCCTCGCCATGGCGGAGCCTGTCGTTGGGTGTGTTGGTGTGCACCTCGCCGGTGTCGTCTGCGTGTTGTCAGTGCTGTGTGGCTGTTGTCTGTGCCCCAGAGCTTACCGGCAGGCGCGTGGCGCGTCCGGGGCGGCTGGGCCAGGGCTGGGGTGGGGGCACGGCTGCATTCGCCTGCACGATCTGCAGACCTTTGGGTGGCACTCGAGTGGTCGCCCTACCTTCTGATCGCCTGTCCCACCTCCACACTCCCTACCTTGATGTGTTTCCAGCTCACTAATCTCTAGTAACCGGAGAGGTGTGGGAAGGAAAGGGACCTTAGTCTGTGGGAGCCGTGCCCTTCGGTCTCTGTTCGGTGGGTCCCCCTCGCCGCCTCATTTGCAGGCGGGGCATTCCCCATTGCTCTGTCCCCTACGCTAGAGCAGGGCTCACCCGCCTGCTCAGTCCCATCGGAGGACTACAGTATTGCATGTTTCAGGTTGGATGTGCGGTTGAAGGAAGGCGTGAGTTCTGGTTGTAACTGTGTTGTAAATTGTGCCCTGGAAAGTCCTGTAAGTCACCTGCAAGGAGCGAAGGACAAAGTGTTCCCCACCTACGTGGCTTGCTGCCACGTTTAGTCCGTTCATTTTAGAGATTCATATCAGCCTCCCAAAGACTGCAAGATTGAATAATTCTGCTCATGATTTCAAACTTTTGGAAACCTGTTGGCAACGTAAAAATTGAGGGAGCCAAGGGTGGGGTTGAGGGGAAGCTGGCTCTCGGGCTGGGGTGCAGAGAGTGCCTGAAAAGGTGGATGTGTGTGTCCTTCTAAAAGTTTTCATCGGTGGAAACAAGGCTGTAGAGGATTTCTTCTTTATGGGATAAAGCGCTAAAGCTATTGAGCTAAGGCTACGTATCCTACCAAGTTAAAAAGAAGGAACACACACAGAGCACACCAGACACACGAGTGATTTGCTAGAAGTTGAGATGAGACCAGGCTGAAAAGCCTCCAGGCTTTAACCAGCAAAAAAGTTTCACATGGGCCGGTTTCTGTTTCTTTTCTTCTAATTTTTCTGATCAGGTACACTGTTGACGGTGAGCACTGATGTAAAACACACACCACTGCTTGAATAAAATCCATTTCAGACACCGGGTGTGAAATGGGGAGGGGGCGACTGAGCAGAGCGGGCAGGGGAAGGTGTGAAGTTAGAACACTCCCAGCAGCGGCGGAGTGGCACCACCCGCCAGCGCTGTCCGTGGAGGGTGCTCCCGCCCGCCCGGTGCTGCCGCCTGGCCTCTCTACCTGCCGTGTTCCCCAACCCCCTGGGTTGTCCTCCCCTCCTCCGGCTCCTCTGACTGCTCCCTCGCCGTCACCCTTAGCTGCTTCTTCCGCGACAGGGCCCGGGCACCCCCTGCGCTGGGTCACCGGGGATGGTCCCCGAATTCGGTGGTCAGGGATCTGGAGCCGCGGCTCCCAACGTTTGGAGCTCATCGGTTCGGATTGTTTTAGGATCCATGCCTCTCTTTTCCCTTCACATATGCCAAGAGCCCCCTTTAGTATAGTATGTTTATTATGGGTACAACCTGACCTCTAACTTCTACCTTGAAGCCCATATCAGAAAGAGAATGGGGCCAGGTTTTCTTCCTGTTGGGAGGGGGTGAATCTTTGCATCCTCTTTCCCTACTCTGTGGAAGATCTGCTCCTAACCCCAAATTGTAAGAAGATCCTTTATACTTGTAAATAGTTGGGGGGGGGGAGGGGGGAGGCATTTTACAGTTTTTTTTTTTTTTTTTTTAAGAAAAGACTGGACGTCTATTCACGGCAGGTTAGTTCATTTAATCCTAGACCAAATCTTCCCCAGGAACAGTGTTAATTGCATAAAAATTTCATGCAAGCACTTTTCATTTTTCTCATAATAAAAATCTGCTCTGGAATGAATGGCTTAAGCGCACATTCACTTGTTCAGAAAGGTGTTTGGGGATTTTCACTGTGCCCCGCCTGACTCTTCCTTTCAGTTGGATATTTGCACATCTCATTCCATCTTAACAGAAAATACAAATTCTTTATTCACAGAGAGGGAAGTGCTTTTAAGTCAGAGGTAGGTTTAGGATAATCAAGTTTATCCCATTTAGGGAAGGTGTGAAAGGGGCGCATAAAATCCCTGCAGAATGTCTAATTGATGTCCCTTTATCCAGTGCTCACTGTTTCCTACAGCCGAGGACAACTTCACAACCCCCTCTCAATGCCCAGCCCTCAGGAAAGAGAAGGAAAGGGAGAAAGACACCCTCCGGTTAAGTCAGCTTGGGTGCTATTTTTAGCCTTTTTTCGAAGGATAGTGACACATTATTTCGTTTCCAAATATTTCTAACGATTTTCTGCTCAAGTGTAAGATAATGGAGCAAAGAGTTTGTAGTAATGGCAAAGAGCAGGTGGGGGATGGGGAAGGCGTTTTTGATAAACGGTTTGTTGCTCACGGGGAGGGTAACAGTATTTCTGCTGACTCTCCAGGCGGAGATTTTTTTCCCTTTTCTTTGCTTTCCTTTTCTTTTTCCTTTTCTTTTGTCTTTTCTTTTTTCTCCTTTTTTTTCTCTTTCCTTCTCTTTTCTTTCCTTTTCTTTCTTCTCTTCCCTTTCTTTCTTCCTTCCTTCCTTCCTTTCTTTTTAAGTAAGATCTGATTTGGACGGCGCTGTTTGGCTCCCAGTGTTGAAGGCTCCAGAGTCGAGTCTTCGCATTTTGTTTTTGTTCAAAGAAAGCGCTTCCCTGCCTCTGCAGGACTGCCTGCTTCATAATAAACACGACGAAGGAAGGGGTTCAGCACTTTTTAGTATAAATAAACCGGCGACTCTCGAAGGGTATATATTTGGGGAAAGCCTTTACCGGCCCCATTCTTTTTCCTGGGGTTCCTCGATTTTAGTCTTCTGAGTGGATCCTCCGGTCGGATTGCCAGGACCCTGCACTTATTAAGAGCATATATTTTAAATTAAGGTACAAGGAGAGTCTCGAAATGCACGCATTCTACCAAGCGTGCCTTTCCTTTCTTTTTCTCGCTTGCTTGCCCTTTGCTGTCCCCTGCTCCCCGGCCCGGGCCCCCTTTCCCATTGCGCCCGCTGCTCTTGAACTTGTTTCTGGAGGGGCGGAAGGCGCGGGCTCCCGACCCTCAAGCAGCTCTTCCCAAAGCCCAGGTAAGGCCGAGGGCTCATCCAGGCAGTGGCGGGTCCCCACCTGCTGCGGCGGCCTCGCGGCGTCAAAGCTGGGGTCCTGGGGAGGCGGGGGCCCACCGGGGGCCCAGAGACCCGGGAGAGGGCGAGGTGCGCAAGCGGAGTAGCGGGGAGCTGTCGCCACCAGCCCGAGCGACTCCTTCACCGACGACGAGGCAGGCAATTTAGAAGACGGCAGGGCGGGGGGAGGGGGAAACATGGAAAAAAAAAAAATACGGGGGTGCTTGCGAGGCCAAGGTCACGGTCCGGCCGCAGGCGGGCCCCGGGCGTGTGGCCTCTGCGCTCCAGCGCGCTGTGTGTTCTCCGGACTCCCGGGGAGCTTGACGGCCCTGCGCCCGGGCTCCGCGGCCTGCGCTGACTAGGCTTGCCCGCCGGGACCCCGCCCGGCCCGGGGAGGCCGAGGTCATGATCGCAGGCCTGGGCGGCGGCCCCTCCTCCCCAAAGCCCGGCCTCTCCGCTCGGCCCCAGCCTGCTCCGGGACTCAGAGTCCCCGATCGCGCCTCTCCGTGGTGGCGGTGGAGAGCCGGGACGGGTGGGGAGGCAGTCGGCGGAGGCCGGGCACTTCCGAGGGGAGACGGTTCCAGAAGGACTTCTGGCGCCCAGCAGGTTGGGTGCCGCAGGGCACACGCAGAGCCGTGTGCAACCTGGACGGGGCGCGCAGAGGGCCCTGCGGGTCTCCTGCCGCTGCTCCGGCTGTGCCCGGGCTCAACCACAAGGTTCGATTTGCTTTTTGAGGCAAAGCCCCCATGGAAAACTTAAGCTGCCGCTAGTCAGCCGCGGGCGCCCCAGCTCCCAGCAGAGCCGGCTCCCACCGCCACTTGACCATCGCCCCCCACTCCGGCGCCTGCCTGTGCCCTCTCTCCTCCACTTTCCTCCTGCCTGCGCCCCGCTTGCTCCTGCCATCTCTCCCCCTGGCAAGTGGCAAACCACAGCTGGGAGCGAGGGACAGCCAGAGATGCATTTTCCTCCAGCAGCCCCCCCACCCCACCCAGGGCGAACTCCTTAGAGGTGGGGAGGACCCGTGGGGCCAGCCCGCCACAGGGGCGTCCCTCTGAGTCCAAGGGGGGGGGGGCGTTCCCCGAGGAGGAAGGGCCTCTCCAGTTGGGACTGAGACAGGAGGAGAGAGGGGCACAGGAAGGGTTAATCCTGGGCGAAGAGACAGGAGCTGGCGGCAGGGCCTCAGTCCCCCACCCCTGGAGCAAGCCACCGTCACTTCCACCCCACGGACCCCTTCCTGGACTTTGCTTTACAGCCTATACAGCAGGGGCACCGGAGGCGAGACGCTCCAGCTGGGCTCTGCCCTAGCTGCCTTCTGTGAAGTCCAGAGGCATGCTCGGAGGAACCTGGCCCTTTTTTTTAAAAAAAAGCCCAAACCCCGAGAATTATGTAAATTGAAAGGAAAGATCAGGCGCCCACCCCCAAAATACAATCTGGTATTAAATCCCAGATGGAAAACCAGCAAAAATCATTTCCCCCACTTTTCATTATTGTGTTATCATCTATGGCTATGGAATTCTGTAGTGTGCTGTTGAGGCTACGTGATGTGCTAACTTCTGAAAGCAGCTTGACATGCCCCAAAGAAATTGTTTCCTGCTTTCTTATTTCTACAATATGTAGAGAGCTTTCAATATTGTAGATACACAGGGCATGATCATCAGGGAACATTTATAAGTGCAAAGTGTTATCTCTAATACGGTAGAAGTGGGTCCTTGCACAGGGCAGGTTTGGTTTATTAAGTTAAATTAAAAGTGAATTATTTTAAAATGACCCACTTACCAGCTTTCCTTCTGCCACCAGATACCCCCATCTTTTCATTTCATTACAGGTGGAAATGACATTTTTAGGGTCCTCCATTATGTGTCTAAGCCACCTCCTGACATTTTTTAGTAGACGGCTTTTTTTCTTATGTATTAGGATATTTTTGTTATGAGGTATACGGAGATGAAAAAAAGCTGGTAAAAATACCGGCCTCGCAATTAAAGTGACTCTGGATACCAAAGTGAAAATAATCATCTGGTATTAATCAAGTTATGTCTCTGCTTCTTGTTGAGGAAAAATATAGTGACGATTTGCTTTCCTTTTCATCTAAAAAGCACTGTAAAATGTTGAATGTTCCATAAAAATTTCTACCCTTATGAGACAATTTTTGTTCAATTAATCAAAATGCATAGTTTCACGCTGGACATAGTTACATCAGAAAGAAAATTTGCTGCGGCCAGTCTAGCAGTGTTTTAAACAACCCTGCAGTAACATGTAGCAGACGATGACCTTGCACACTGCCTGAATCTTCAATAATATCATTGTCATTACTATTATTATCCGAAGTGTTAAATTGTCACCAGAATCAATACAAGTCTACTTCTCCGAATATATTTTATCTCACTGTTGTTTTTAACATCTTTATTAAGAGGCCAATTAATTTCCAACTCATAGCTGCAGTGAAGTTTGCGTATAAGAGGGCTTCCTGACTTTTTTTTTTTTTAACAGTTTGTTTCTCCTTTTGAAAGAAAGAGGAGGAAAAGAAAACGCGTGTGAAATAAAGAACTTCATGTTTAAAGTGGTACGAAACGATTCCCAATCTGATTTAAAAAAATAAAATATACCAAAATTCTGATTGCAAATCCCGGTCAAGCTGATACTTGTTTAACTTTTTTTTTCCAACTGAATATCAAGACTGAATTTTTTTTTTTTTTTTTTTTTTTTTAATTCTACCAGGATAGATAGCTGAGCCACCCGTCCACAGTCCCTGGAATTAGAGGAATTTTTCTAAGCGGGATACCAAGGCCTTGGTGAAGGAAACATCTTAATATCCTCGTTTGTTTGTTTGTCTGTTTTCTTCTAGATTTGTCGGTGTTAATGCATCTGATATCAACTATTCAGCTGGCCGGTATGACCCTTCGGTGAAGACCCCCTTCGATGTAGGTTTCGAGGGCGTGGGGGAGGTGGTAGCCTTAGGCCTCTCTGCCAGTGCCCGGTACACGGTGGGCCAAGCTGTGGCTTATATGGCACCTGGCTCTTTCGCGGAGTATACCGTGGTGCCTGCCAGAGCTGTGGCCCCCGTGGCCTCTGTGAAACCCGAGTATGTCACCGTGCCGGTGAGCGGTACCACCGCGTACATCAGCCTGAAAGAGCTCGGAGGACTATCCGAAGGGAAAAAAGTTTTGGTGACGGCAGCAGCGGGGGGAACGGGCCAGTTCGCCGTGCAGCTTGCCAAGAAGGCCAAGTGCCATGTCATTGGGACCTGCTCTTCTGATCAAAAGTCCGCTTTTCTGAAATCGATCGGCTGTGATCGCCCCATCAACTATAACGCCGAGCACGTCGGTACGGTCCTGAAGCAGGAGTACCCCGAAGGGGTCGATGTGGTGTATGAATCCGTCGGGGGAGCCATGTTCGACTTGGCCGTAGATGCCTTGGCTACCAAAGGGCGCTTGATAGTCATTGGGTTCATCTCCGGCTACCAGACTCCCACCGGCCTTGCGCCTGTGAGAGCAGGAACCTTACCGGCCAAACTGCTGAAGAAATCCGCCAGCGTTCAGGGCTTTTTCTTGAACCATTACCGTTCTGAGTATCAAGCAGCCGTGGAGCACTTGCTTCAGATGTGTGTGGACGGAGACCTGGTTTGCGAGGTGGACCTCGGAGACCTGTCTGCAGAGGGCAGGTTCATCGGCCTGGAGTCCGTATTCCGGGCTGTCGATTATATGTACATGGGAAAAAACACTGGGAAAATTGTACTCGAACTACCTCACTCTGTCAACAGTAAGCTGTAAACTCAGAACGATGGCAGAAGTCAAAGGAGAAAGAAAACGGGCACCTTCTTCCTCAGAAAGAGTCGAATCAGTTTATTTTTGGCGGGTAATGGAGATCATATCTCTTTAAAGGTGTTAACGAATGAGTTTCTCTCTCTCTCTCTCTCTCTCTCTTTTTCTTTTTTGCCCCTCCCTTGAAAAAAAATGCCAATAAAAACTTCCCTCGATGGCTCAGAGGTAAAACCGTTACATTCAGTTCTTTGGCCATAGACAGTCTCATTCCAGGCTTTATTGTTCCAGGGAATTAAATTAATTCCTGATGCAAGATCTGATCAAATCAGTATGCCTTCAGCTTGATGGGATTTTAAAATCAGTCTTGAAAATAGTTCACAAATTCCTTACTTTGGGAGAGTTTGGTCTTCCGCTAACGAGCAGTTAATAGATAGGAGACAGGGCAGGAGGACAGCCATCTATTCTCAGAGTCCATATTCCCAGGAAATGGCCCTTCCTTTCTTATAAATCACCAACTATCTAAATGGAAATTTGGAGGAATTCTCCCAAAACTTTGATTTTTGTTTTTTTGTTTGTTTAGATCATTAGGAAAATGACTAAGTGAACACAGACCTATTTTTTAAAAGTCTCTGCTGTTTAATGCTTTACGCACAATTGTCCTGGGGAGGCACATGTGGCATGGGAAGCCTCTCTCTTCCCTTAAGAAGCAAATTAGTGTTGAAAACCGATGAAGGCAAAAGCAGATTTTGGAAAGGGGCTCTACGGAGATCTGGGGGTTACCTGCCCGGGAAGGAAAGGACGTGCTTCATCCACGGGGAGGGTCTGCACAACAAAACCCCCACCACGAGGGGAGACGCACTCTCTAGGCACACCGCCAGAGGCTGATAACAGCATCCTTCATAGGCCTGAGGTGGGATCCGTCAAAGGGCACCATGCGGAGGAGGGGCTTGATGGGATGGGAAATAATAAGATACTTGCTCCGTGTTGCAGACTTTCTTGGACACCGTGTGTTTCCTCTCTGATCACGGAAACAGAATAGCGTGCTTAGCGTGGAACGCTGTTCCTCCGTTCCCACTTTACTTCTCTGTGCCCTCGCTCTGTCGGGGATGAGGCGCTCCTGGGCACCGCTGCCTGGGGTCACACGTGAGAGTCCCGTCATGGGCCTTCTCTCGTGAGCCATGCCTACCGCCGACGTGCCTGCCCCCTCGCCTTCAGCTCGGCTTTCGCTGTTCCGTTGGAAATCCCACGGTGCCTTTCTGATCGAAGGCAAAGCCCACCAGATCCTTTTCTCAAAGCCTCTGGCCCCAGTGTATCTAACACGCTAAATAAATAGGAACGCAATTAAAGATGCTCCGGGAAACCCGGTGACCATATTTAATTTTTCTTTTCCTCCCGTCTGAGGAGCGAGGAAATCCTACTGCTGGATAGCTGTTAGTATCTATTTTACAAGATTTACTCATTTTCAGGTACCTAATGTAGCTGCTAGCATGCATGCACAACAATACAATTTATATGGTAAATGGGACCAAATAATGGCTTCACTGAATGTTATGGCTGCACTGAAGGAAAATGTCACGGTAAATAGCTGCCAAATTATGGATCATGCCGAAGTGTCACAACTGCACTAAAGACAAATAGCACTAGAGGCTACTGCCACTGTGACGCTTTTGAGTTATGAAGAAGGGTGGAAGCCTGATGCAAGCCTCTTTGTGTCCTCATTATAGCAAGGGGTGACGAGTGCAGGGTACAAGAAAAGCTGGCCCAATGTGGCGCTCGGTTATTAATCTGTCCCTTTCAGACCTAACA